AAAAGTCCAACAACAATTACAACGATGCTAACGGCAGACAAGCGAAGCGAAAAACGAAAACGAAAAAGTTAACCGCTGCAGCTGCTTGTATATGAGGGCTTATGTATTGGTTATGTATAGCGGCTGGGATGATTTTACCAACTATTAATTTTCGAGTTTCAATAAATAAATTGGGGCGACAGTGATTGCAATAATATAACACAATTATGTAAATGTTGCGTCCAACGGAGGTTCAAATAGGTTATAATGTGTATGTGTATATGTATGTGTATATAATAAATTTTAATATAATTTTTTATTTTTATTTATTATAAATAAATGCATGCACAACGAGCTCTACTATATCGATACGTCTGTGCCAAGAATTGAAAGCGAGGTGCAATTTTTCAGCACAAGACAATAAACAATTAAATTGTTTTTCTTATAAACTCAAACTTTCAATTTTTTGCACAAATACCTCAGGTTCTGCTTTAGGGTCTTTCAATCCAGCTGCCACTTTCCTTTTGCACATTGAGCAGTCGCAGGGCATCCCTCTGGCAGCAGTTCTTTTGTGGCGAACAGGGTATTTCGCGACCGGCACGATATTTTAAGCAGGAGCTGCTGTCCACACCGACACGCCGCGGGCAACAAAAAACACTATGTATGTATGTAATTGAGTGCTTTGAACTCCACTTGCACTTGCACTTTATATTTTTGGTTTATGTGTCACTGTCACTAGTTTCCAAATAAATTAATAACTTTAACGTCAACCCGGGGGCGCCATGAAAAATTAGAGAGTTTTCTAATTATTAAAACCGAAAAAAACTTGGCGGTGGCTTAAATTATTAACAGCGAAAAACGAAAACGAAAAAGAAAAGGTGTCGACGGCTCAAATCAATTTCAACGAATGCTTATATATTTTTCGACAAATTACTTAGAGCCTAGCTTAACGAAGGTTGGCGAAGACGGGGCGACTTCGCCGAGAGCGAGAGAAAACTTTATTGTGCTCCCGCCTTCGCCCTAAACTAACTTACACTAAACTTCAAGTTTTTATTTTTTCAATATATTTCAAATTTCAATTTTGAGCGAACAAGAGGTATGGTGGTGCCTTGCCTGGCTAGCTCGTCTGCTATACAGTTGCCTTCGATATCCCGGTGACCCGGAACCCATATAAGGCTGACAGTAAACTGACTAGCCATCTCGTGGAGAGATTTGCGACAGTCTGCTATTGTTCGGGAGTTTGTATTCGTCGAGTAGATTGATTTAATAGCCGCTTGGCTATCACTATATATGTTTATGTGTCTGTTCTGGGTGTTTAAGTCCCTTAAACAGATGAGTGCTTCCATTATAGCATACACTTCCGCTTGGAAGACACTGCAGTGGTCAGGAAGTCTGAATGACTGCCTGATCTCTAATTGTTCGGAGTATATGCCTCCACCTACGTGTCCGTCTAGATTGGAGCCGTCTGTATATAAACTGATTGCGTCTATTGAGCCCGGTCGGCCCCGATCCCATACTTCCCTGCCTGGGATCAGAGCTTCGAAGGGCGTGTGACTGTATTCACGGGTTTTACATAGATCCGTTTTTGGCGGGATCAAATTGTCATGCTGAAGAATCTTAGCGTGACCAAACAGTTGGGCTTTCCATTGCCCCATATCCCTTAGTCGAATGGCTGCCGATTTCGCCCTATCCATGCCTGCTAAGTCCAGGCTCTGGAGGTTCAAGATCGCATTCAGCGCTTCGTTTGGGGTAGTTCGAAGGGCTCCACTAATGCACAAAGCCGCCATGCGCTGTACTTTGTTAAGGGGAGTTAAGATACATTGTTTGTGTAAAGCAGTCCACCACAGAGCCACTCCATATAGTAGGATTGGCTTGACTACCGCTGTGTATATCCAATTGACGATTTTAGGGGATTCCCGATTGCTTTTTTACAGGAGTAAAGTGCAATGGTCGCTTTCTTGGTTCGTTCTTGGTTGTTTAAGCCCCATTTAAGACGCTTATCTAATACTAACCCCAAGTATCTTGCGTGCTCGCTAAAAGAGAGATTACAGTTGTTTAAAGTGGGTGGGTTAAGTTTTGGGATTTTGTATCTATTAGTAAAAAGGACTAGTTCCGTTTTTGAGGGGTTTACCCCAAGTCCGTTCTTATAGTCCATTCCGATAGTGTTTTTATACCCTTGCAGAGGGTATTATAATTTTGGTCAAAAGTGTGCAACGCAGTGAAGGAGACATCTCCGACCCTATAAAGTATATATATTCTTGATCAGGATCACCTCCTGAGTTGATATAGCCATGTCCGTCTGTCCGTCTGTCCGTCTGTCCGTCTGTCCGTCTGTCTGTCCGTCTGTCTGTTTCTACGCGAACTAGTCTTTCAGTTTTAAAGATATCGAGTTGAAACTTTGCACACACCCCTTCTTTCCTTTGCACGCAGTATATAAGTCGGAACGGCCGGGATCGGCCGACTGTATCCTATAGCTGCCATATAACTGATTGATCGGAAATGCCATAACTCTGCTGTTTGTTAAGTTAGGAAGTTGGGACTTTCTATGGGTTTTATATTTGGCCAATCAATCCGACGTACCAAATTTCATAAGGATCGGCCGACTATATCTTATAGCTGCCATATAACTGATTGATCGGAAATGCCATAACTTTGGTGTTTGTAAAGTTAGGAAGTTGGGATTTTCTATGGGTTTTACATTTGGCCAATTAATCCGACCTACCAAATTTCATAAGGATCGGCCGACTATATCTTATAGCTGCCATATAACTGATTGATCGGAAATGCCATAACTTTGGTGTTTGTTAAGTTAGGAAGTTGGGATTTTCTATGGGTTTTATTTTTGCCTAATCAATCCGACATATCAAATTTCATAAGGATCGGCCGACTATATTCTAAAGCTGCCATATAACTGAACGATTGGAAATGCCATAACTTTGGTGTTTTTAAAGTTAGGAAGTTGGGATTTTTTATGAGAATTAAGAAGGCATTATATGAATGATTTTGGAGAATATAATTTGCAGAATATTCTGCAAGGGTATTTCAACTTCGGCTCCGCCCGAAGTTAGCTTTCCTTTCTTGTTAGTTTTGCGGTCATAAGATCGCATAACGTTTGTGGATACTTACCATTAAAGATGATAGCGACATCGTCTGCGTATGCCACTATTTTACAGCCTCCTCCTTCAAGAATCCGCAGTAGTTTATTTACCGCGATATTCCATAAGAGGGGTGATAGTATTCCTCCTTGCGGAGTGCCTCTATTCACTAATCTAGTCTGGGTTGAGGTCCCTAGTGTGGCCGTGACCAGTCTGCTTATCAGCAATTTGTGGAACAGCCCCACCAGCGGTGGCTCAACCCCTAGTTCAGTGAGGGATTCTGTTATTGCCGTGGGAAGCACGTTGTTGAAAGCTCCTGCTATGTCAAGGAAGGCGATCAAGGTGTATTCTTGTATACTGAGTGATTTCTCGATGTTGCTTACTACCAAGTGTAGCGCCGATTCGGTCGACTTACCTTTGGTGTATGCGTGTTGCGCCTCTGATATCTGCGTCGGGTCAATGATGTCTCTAATGTGTAGACCTATCAGTCTTTCTAGGATTTTTAGCAGGAATGATGTTAGACTTATCGGTCTGAAATCCTTCGCTGTAGTATGGGTGGCCTTCCCTGCCTTAGGGATGAAAACGACTTTCGTTTCCCGCCATGCTGTAGGTAGTTCTCCTACTGCAAGAATGGTCTGGAAGATTTTTCTCAGCCAGTTTATAGCTAGCTCCCCTGCCTGCTGAATATGTGCCGGTGTTATGTTGTCCGGTCCCGGCGATTTGTATGGTTTAAAACTATGAATGGACCAGTTTATATTACGGTCTAATAGTAGGAGATTTAAGTTTATTCCTTCTCCAGTGTGTCTTCCTGGGGGATGTCCTGTTTGCAGGCTCCCTGGGAAGTGAGCGTCTAGGAGTAGGTTTAGGGATTCTTCACTAGAGTCCGACCATGATCCGTCAGCCTTTTGGAGATAGCCCAAGGATTCGGCTGTCTTAGAAAGTATTTTTCTGAGCCTTGCGGCATCAGTTATCTTTTCAATATCCGAGCAGAAGTTCTGCCACGCAGTTCTCTTCTCTTTTCTGATGGCCTTTTTGTATGTGGCTAGTTCCTTTTTGTAGCTTTGCCAGTTTATGTCCTCATTTGTAGCTTTCGCTCTGTTGAACAGGTTTCTGCATTTGGCTCTGAGGATTGATAATTGCTGGGTCCACCAAGGAGGTTTTTTTACTTTCTTTTTGGTTTCCCTAAGCGGGCATGTAGCTGTGAATGCCGCGTTGCATGCTTCTGTGAATTTGTTTACTATATTATCTAGCTCCTGAGTGCAAAGAGTGCTTTCTGGTGGCTCCCTGGGGAGGAAGTTCGATAGAATTTTTTTGTACTTATTCCAGTCTGCTCGCCTGGGGCTGCAAAGCTGACCGGCGCAGGTGACACTAGGGACAAAGTTGTCTCTATAAACCTGTGATCTGAAAATGAGTGCTCGTCGGAGACAGCCCAGTTTGTGACTGTGTTTATGAGTGAATCTGATGCCAGGGTTAGATCTATGATCTATGATCTGATTTAGAATGAAATCAAATAAAGACTCACCTCTGTCGTTGTTGATAGGGCAGCCCGACTGAGTATGGTGGGCATTTGCATCGCATCCTATCACCAAACCTTTCTTAAACTCTTCACATTCCTGTACTAGTCCTCTGACTAGCGCGTCTGGGGGGTCTACCTTTTCAAAAGCCATGTAATAGAGCCGCTTTGCAGCTCCAGGCTTATTGCTGTGTTGTCTCCGTTGCTGTAATTGCGAAGCAGAAAAGAAAGGAAAAAGATGCCGTTTGGCTAAAATGCAGGTTCGAATTTTACCTTGTTTGGGGTCAAGCAAAAGCTTGTAATCTTTTGTTCCTAGTCCAGCAACCCTGCCTCCTGCTACCCAGGGTTCCTGAACTAAGACCACGTCGGCTTCGCCTTTGGACAGGCGAAACAAAAGAGCAGCGGACGCTGCTTTACTGTGATGTAGGTTGATCTACAGGAGTCTTAGCGGCCTCCGAATTGCTCAGGTCCATTTCATCGATTGCCGGTCCCATCGCTCGCATCTCTCTGCTCAGCGACGAGTCGGATGAGTAGCCGTCCTCCGGCACACCAGGGGCCTCCACTTCCTCCGCAAGCACCTGCTCCGCTGGGTTGCCGGCAGGACTTCCCGAGGAATTAGAGTCCCCTTTATAAATCTTTACATGTATGGCACTGAAACCATAGTTGATCGTTCCCCGAGCAGCCTCTATGGGAGCGACCGACTCCTTGTTCAGCACCACGATCGCTTGGTTCGCGTCACCTGCGTGCTCCTCCACCTTAACGACTTTCCAGTCTTTTGTGGGCAGATGTGGGTTGCATTCTTGCAACATATAAAGGATGTCCTCCAGTGATACGATTGCTGCTGGGAGCCTAATTCTGGTTCGAGGTCTACTGGGGACGTCAAACCAATCTAGTGCGACTATATTCGCCCCTTCGTAAACTGCTCCGAGCTGAGCTACCGCCTGTTTGTATCGGTCAGCTGATCGCTGATTATCGCAGGCCTCCACTTTTACACTGCCCTGGTACCAGCCCGCGTCCATACAGCAAGGCGCTGAACCGGGCTTCTCGCGTACCATACGCAGGCAAATAAGAGAAAGCTTGGACTCAACCGCCTTCCATTTATTTCTGGGGATCCTGTTCTCCGGATTTCCCCTGTCTATAAGTCCAAATAGGACCCGATCTTTGGTAATCTCGGCAAAGGAGACCGACGGCTGGATCTTCGATCTCTTTGCCGACGGACCGGGTGCCTCTTCGCCTGAGCACCTTCCTGGTGGGGCTTCTCTTGCCCATAGTTGGGAAACACCGTCCTTGCCCACTCTACCTTCTTTAGCCATTCGGGCGAAGGCGTGGCGACATTGCTTCTGGCAGGGTTGTGAGCGCAGGGTTTGGGCGGCACTCCGTCTCTCTGCGTATGTAAATTTCTTTACATCAGCGGGTGACCCGATCGACTTTACTGCGCCTACCGCTGGAGGCGGTTAGCGTTAGCGACAGTCTTTCTGTCCCCCGACATCCCTAGTTTGGGATGGGGCCCTTTCTGAGCCCTACTGGTGCTTGCAGTGGAACCATCGTTCATCATTGCAGCGCCGGGTTTTTGTGGAGTTCCCGTCTCCGTTTTCTTATTTGTATTTTTATTTATTGATTCCATAATTGGTCCCACGAGCTGCGGAGAAGGGGAAAGGTACGGGCAGAGATCCGCGGTAACCGGGTAAGGCGGTAGATAGAACAGGGGGTCGCCATCTCCCTGAGCCCACCGTTTGAGACTGAGCTTGTTGTTGATCCGGGCCCCCAGCCAGGCTGACTCTTGGCACGGTCCGAATTACACCGTAGTCCGGCCCGGAGTGAGATGTTGTTTGGGAGAGGAAGTGGGTAGGTGGTGTGTGGGGGATATTGGGTTTGCAACTGTTTAGATGCGGCTGAACAAATCGCACCGTCGGTACTGCCTCGTTGCAAGATACCCGCTGGTTGTCCGGGACTGCTTATTTGCTGGGGTTTCCGTCCACGATTCCGTGTTTGACTTCCACCGCCAGCTTATTCGCAGTTGGCCTCGAGTGAGGTCGTCCGCTATCCGCAACCTGCGACCCGCTCGGTCGCCCCAGCTAGGCGGCTTCAGAACCATCTCACAAGTTCCTCAGACGAACGATTGGAAATGCTATAACTTTGGTGTTTTTAAAGTAGGAAGTTGGGATTTTTATGAGTATTAAGAATGCATTATCTGAATAATTTTGGAGAATATAATTTACAGAATATTCTGCAAGGGTATTTCAACTTCGGCTCCGCCCGAAGTTAGCTTTTCTTTGTTGTTTTTTTCTGTAAATGACACTTTGTTGGAAATTTTGTAACGAATTCAAAGAGGTAAGCCATTCCAACATTCGACCACTATTTCCCAGGGTTTTAATTCAAAAACCGAAAAATCGAAGTGATTTTCTTTGGATTTCGGCTTTTTTATAAGGCGCGAATCATATTTTTTTCTCAAAAAGATTTTTCATATTATATTTTTTTTTTGTAAATGACACTTTGTTGGAAATTTTGTAACTAATTCAACGAGGTATGCCATTCGGATTTTGGGCGTTGTCCTAAGGGGGTCATCATTTCTTTCCAAAAATTTGTTCAAATGATATTCTTTTCTCTAAATGCCACTTTGTTGGAAATTTTTTAACGAATTTAACGACCAGGCCACTATTTCCCAGGCTTTTGATTAAAAAACCGGCAAATCAAGCTGCTATTATCCGGATTTGGGCATTGTCATAATGGGGTGGGGGACATGATTTATTTGCGAAAAAATTTTTCAATTAATATTTTTTTTCTGTAAATGCCACTTTTTTGTAAATTTTGTAACGAATTCAACGAGGTATGCCATTCGAACATTCGACCACTAATCCAAGGGTTCTGATTAAAAAACCGAAAAACGAGGTGATTTTTTTCGTACGTGGGCCTTGTCATAAGGGTAGGGATCCTGGTTTTTTTGTTTCAAATGATATTTTATTTTTTTAAATGCCATTTTTTTTAAACGAAATTTTGTAACGAATTCAACGACGTATGCCATTCGAACATTCGACCACTATATCCAAGGGTTTTGATAAAATACCGAAAATCAAGGTGATTTTCTTTGGATTTTGGCGTTGTCATAAGGGTCTGGTTAATCATTTTTTCCCAAAAATTTGGTCAAATGATATTTTTTTTGTAAGTGCCACTTTATTGGAAATTTTGTAACGAATTCAACGAGGTATGTAATTCCAACATTCGACCACTCTTTCCCAGGGTTTTGTTGAAAAAACCGAAAAATCGAAGTGATTTTCTCCGGATTTGGGCCTTTGATAAGAGTGGAGTCATGGTTTTTTTTCGAAAAAACTTTTCAAATGATATTTTTTGTTTCTGTTGTAAATGATGGTCTTTATTTATTTAAATTTATATTCTTCTCTTTATTTTCATGTGCTCGCTCCTTTCTTGTATATTTATCGATTAATCTTATTCAAGTTTTGTTCACATTATCAATAGTTATCGCTATTCTTAATTCTAATTTATAGAACGTACTCACTAGGTCGTATTACATTAAAGGATGTTTACACTAAATACAATATGTACATTCTTAACAACTATGTTTACAACTCGGTCAACCTGACAAAGAGATCGACCTCGCCCTATATTATGAACATAATGTACTTGTAGCCATGGCTTCAACCTGGCTACTTCTAATATTTATTTATAAGGTAATTGCGGTAATTGACAATTATCTATATCTGTTACTTCGTATCTATCGTTTTCAAAAACTCTATTAATTTTATGTGGACCTCTATATTTATGTGCAAATTTTTTACAAGTGCCAGGTGTACCGTCTACGTTTCTAATTGCCACGAATTCTCCAATATTAAACTTCGTTGGCATTTTCTGCTTGACTGCATTTAAAATTTCGTTTCTTCTTTATATTTATTATAGCAGGCTACATTAGAATTACGCATTAATATACACATTTCGGTGATATTGTTGTTGTTTACTTTTAAGTTCCGTTAGAATGTATAAGATAGTTTTCTCTCTTATACATGTTAACCAATCTGTTAGAACATATATAGCTATCTCACTCTCTGGAAAAGGAGATGAGAGAGAACAAGATAACAGGGTGGTTTGAAAGCTGCGATCACGCAGCGGAGTCAGTCTAAAGCGAAAGGTGAACGAGAGGACATTAAATAAAAAGACAAATAAAAGACAATTAAAATCTACACAAGTGTTCTTCTTTCGTCCACAAAATCAGAAGTGGTTAAAAAGCCTACGTCAAAATGGACAAAAACATTGAATTTTTAAACGCTAGAGTAGTGCAATTAAAAAAGTGGCTGGCGTCAGCAAATTTGGTCACCACGGGGTCTAAAGCGGAGTTGTGGGCCCGGTGGCTGCAAGTACCTGAGAGTGTGCGGCAGGTGATAGAAGCGGAGGAGTCCGAAAAAGCCAAAGGCAAACAGGACGAATCTGACGAAGTCAATGGAGCCAACGGAGGACAGGGCGAGTCAGCGATCGTACAAATGGAGCAGAACATAGTGCAACCAGCGGCTCCACTGTTTAAGGTCGAGCATTTGGCATTCCTAAGAATGTTAGATTCGGAGATGAAAGCAGCAATGGATTTTCTCGGAAAAATGCACCTTCCTGGAAATTCATATATTCCAACAAAAATTATTTTGCCAAGCGACAGTGATGGCAGAGATGACGTTGACGGCGACAGTGATGACGATGATGGCAAAGGTGGCGACGATGATGGCAAGGGCGGCGACAGTGATGGCATCGGCAGAGGTTTTGCCGTCAAAAACAACGACGACAGGAATGGTGGCGCCGGAGACAAAAAGTGTTCCGAACAAATTTACAAGAAGAAGCCTGTTTGTGTTAATAAAAATGATTGGTATTCGTCAGCACTGGCGTTTGCGAAGGAAATTGTATTCGAATTCTCGGGCCAAGCAGGAGTACATAACTGGATCAAGCAACTGGAAAACGTATCGAATTTGTACCAGCTCAGCGATAAGCAGCAGCATCTGTTGTGCATCGCTAAATTGAAAGGTGACGCATGGCAGTGGCTTCATGCAGATCCCAACCGTATTAGTATGCCAGTTGGAGTTTTATTGGAAGATTTGGCACTGGCGTTTGGTGGAAAAATGTCAAAAGCAGAACAGCGCCGAGTTTTCGAAAGTCGTGTGTGGAAACCGGAGGAGCGTTTCACTGTCTATTACGATGACAAAATGATGCTGGCCAGGGAAATAAATATAGACATGGAGGAGCTGCTTGATGGATTGATTGAAGGAATACCGATGGAAAGCATGCGCATACAGGCGCGTGTGCAATGTTTTCAAGGTCCAACTCAGATGCTGCGAGCGTTTGCGCAGATCTCACTGCCCAAAAAGAGAGTGATGAGCAGCGTTAAATTGGAAAAAGAGAAGTCGTCGTTTGTGGTACCCAAGGATTCACGGTGACACAACTGTAACTCCAAGGGTCATTGGGCCAAGGATTGCTGGAAGCCGAAGCGTGTACCAGGATCATGCTACGCGTGCGGAGAAATGGGCCACATGGTAGCTGAATGCAAAATGAAGAAAAGTGGAGACGTCAACCAATATGTAAGATTATTTAGAATATTTTTTCAAACTCAAAATATAAAATCAATTATTACAGAAAGCCTCATAGACTCAGGAAGCCCAATTTCGTTCATAAAATTTAAAGAAATTCCCAATGAAGTAAAGTTAGAGCCGGTAAACACGGTATATTTTGGTTTAAACAAGTGTGTACTAAATTGTTTTGGAAAAACTTTAGTGTATATTAAAAAGAACTCAATAAATGTTTATTTTTATTTAAATGTGGTGGATAATGAGTCTATGGGCTTTGATGTTGTGTTAGGACGAGACTTTATGGATGTATGTAATTTAAATATTGATCTAAACGCTTTGAAAATGGTAACAGTGGAAAAAGTAGAAAACATGAATGAATATGTTAGTAATAAACAAGAAGTTATAAATGAATTAAATAAGAAAGAAGAAACAGTTAGAAATGAAGAAAGAAAGGAAACAGTTAGAAATGAAGAAAGAAAGGAAACAGTTAGAAATGAAGAAAGAAAAGAAACAGTTAGAAATGAAAAATGTAAGACAACAGTTGAAAAGGAAGACATAAATGAAATATTTAGAAAGGAAATAAGGAAATCAACATTAGAAGAAAATTTCGAAAGAGAAATGTTAGAGATAAATTGTGTAGAAATGGAGAATCGGAATACAATATATGTGACGAAGTAGGGTACAATATAAAAAACGGTTCGTTGAATTACTGGAAGACAATTATGTTAATGCAAATAAGCCGGATGAGCCTGACATAA